TTGAACGACTATTTGTATAAGATTTAATAACATTTAACATATCATTAGTTAATTCATGTTCATTTATTATGGTTGGATAAACTTGTTCGAAATAAGAACGATATGGATTTTTTGTTAAAAGTTTACAATCAAGTGAATTGGTTGAATGATCGTAATGAAAATGTTCTGTTTCATAATTTTCAGTTGTTGAAGCTAACGTTTTTGGTAAATAACGACTTGTTCGAACATTAAAAATGCAATTCATCATGCCGTTGTGAAAAAATAAAAGACGAAGGAATCAAGTATAAAGGTTTGTGTACCATGTAATTACATCATTGTTGTGAAATGTACAGAAAAAAAAGAAATGTTAACTATTTTCAGTCAATATTTTCTAAAGCAGACTGATTGACATTCTTTATTTATTGTATGATGGTTTAATAGCTAAGGGGTGTGTGTGGGTACGGTTGAAACGTAGATATGGGTGTGAACTCGAATGTGGTTGATGATCCTCTCTTCAACCACTCCCATATCTATACATCGACGCTTGGGCACATAATCCACCCTCTAGTAACTTAAAACAAAAGTCGAGCGACTGCAATCTTCAGTTAGCAGTCGAAAATAATATGTTCGTTGAATCATGTAAAAGTGAAAAAAAATGGAATGTTTAGTAAAGAGAAGTAATTATTAACATGTAATGTTCAGCGAATGCTCATTGTTTCTACCTTATTCTGAAATTATGAGCAAGGTCATAAACATTAGACCTTCTCATGAAGATCTTAATTTATTTATTATTCAAAAAGCATCTAGGTACATTGATTTGATACGAAAATGCGTTCAGAAGCGGTTCTAAGCATTGATGTTAAACGCATCTAGATTCAATTAGTTCTGTATCTAAGCTGCGTCTAAATGCATCTCTTTTGAACTTAAGTGTCACATAAGAATTTCTATATACCCATAAGAATCATATTTACGTCCCAAGTTTATTTATTATTATTCATAGAATGATTCTACTTGATTAGCTGTGCATACTTGATCTATATTAAACAATCTTCAGAATAGTAGCATGTTTTCTCTTATGAAGCATTATTTGAAAAAAGCAGTTATTAATAAGACTTAGTAAATTGTCAAATCAACATATTATGGTTGTGTTATATCGTACATCTACAAATCTGAAATATTAAACAATTCTAATTTGCTTTCTTGGCACTAAAATAAGATACATGTAATAAAAACGCCAATGATAGATTTGTTCGTGCAGAAAATTCGACATAAACAACGACCGTAAGTCCGTTAGCAGTTATGATTGGCTTTATGATCATCACAAATATCATTGGCTGACTAGCGTCAGTGATTAGTACTTCAAGATCTTGATGTATATATCAGCAATTGTATGTTTTTCTTTTTTTTAATAATAAAGAACTCGCTGCCGACACAAACGCAATTCCAAGAAGCACGTAAGCCGTGAATTAGATGAAGTACTTCAATTTCTTCAGTATCAGATTCTTGCTCTCTGTCGTCTTTATCGAGTAACTGTAATTTGTAGAAGAGATTGACAGGCAAGCAGTTCATTTTGGAAAAAAAGAGTAGAAAGAACCTTGTCGAAGTGACTCCTATCAATCAGAGTTTCGCTGTTAATTTTATGTTTGGTAAGAAGCTTCAAAAACTCTAGCTATATAGTTGAAGTTTTGCCGTAAGTTCATTATACAATGGCTTGATTTGAAGTACGACTCTGGCTGTCTATTAGATTGATAGAATACGTGAGCTTCATATACAATAATATCTTTTAGGAGAATACGGTTTCCTTCATAAATTAGACTTCTCTGCTTTGCAGCACTTGTCTGAGTTGCAATCATCAATACTTAATTTGAACGTTGCACACCCAATAAGTTCATTTTAATGAGGTAAATCACAGATTGAGTCATCTTCTTGACTGCTAAAAATACATTGCAACTAAGCCTATGGTTTTAAAGTTAGAATCAACCTAGTGTATAGACAGTAGCATTTCAGTATGATTCAAATCTTAAATCTCGAGACTTTTGGCAAGAAAATACGCTGAAGCTTTGTATGGCGAATTTTTTCAAAACGGCTTTATGTCACGTGTTCAGATATTCTTTTGCCCATCAGACTTGCTCATAAGAAAAGCAAAGAAGGAAGAGTATCTAGACAGACAGTAGAAATCAGTGGCAGCAACAGTATGAAGCTATTGAGGTTTTATACAGAGCCTTATGACTAAGGGAATCATTTTCCATTTGCTTAAGAATTTTTGCAAGTGCCACATTGAAAGTAAAATGATAGATTACGTTGATACTCTGTTATACTTGCATTTATTTAATTGTAGTTTTTTCTTTCGAGGCACTTTGGAATCCTTAGCTTAAATGAACTAGATATCTTCGATCACAAATATCTTTGATTGTCCAAAGCACTTGATTTCGGATAACTCTACTATTTTATTCATTAAAACTAGGTTTACTTCTGTTCAAGTAATGACTCGAGTCAATCAACATGTGATAAACATTGATTGTCTTGTAGAGAAGAACTAAGGTACGAAAAAACAACGTAGGATATTATAGAGAATGAAAATCAGTATTCTTGCAGGACTCTATTTCATTGTACAGCTGTATACCATATTCCAGTTCGTATGTACTTGGTATCGTAAACAAGTCGTATACTGGCTGTTTACGCTGCAATACGATTTCTTAAGTCTTTCGTTGACATATCTGTACACAGACCTTATTTATACTATTTTCGTACCGTAATTGATCGTAAATAAGACAGAAATTATATTTTCATTGGCTACGCTCACACAGAAGATATAGCAGTTTACATTCAGCAACTAACAGTTGCCTAGCGCAGTCTTATACCCTCCTACACTATACACGACTATTCCTGTTCACTATAGTTGCATACAGACTTGGAAGGTTGAAACAGAAAGCAGGTTTTCAAAATTTTCTTTTTTGGAACAAGAATAGAAAGACATGACAGATAAAGAATGCATGAAAAATCACATACTTTGTCGTTAGCTCATTAATGAAGCCAATATTTAAATCGATAAAGCATAGTACAGAGGCATTTTTAAGAATTGGATGATTAATCGTGATTTACCGCTAAAACTAATCGGATATTAGGAACATGGGTTATGCGAGCTCCTACGTAGGTGGTGACTTGAAGAAATTCTTTGGATACATCCCAGTATAGATATCATTTGTCTTAATTTTATTGCTTTTAATACATGTTGCATTTTATGCAAGAAAACAATAAGCTGAAACATCTTTTCTGCATAGATTCCACAGCATTACATACAGAGACTAGAGAACTGACTTCAACGGGTCGGACCACAAGAAATGTTGAATTGTGATATGGAGTGTGAATGTGAATCTTCTTTCACGCACACCCTCAAGATTCTACTAATCAGAAATAGCTGCTTAAAAACCGACAGATCAGACGTGGTTCTGTTGGTGTAGCGGTTATCACATCTGCTTAACACGCAGAAGGTCGCAGGTTCGACACCTGCACAGAACACTATTTTTCTTGTATTAATTTTTTTAATCTCATAATTCTTTAATAAACAGAACTTGATAGGAAACAATTAAGATTAACATATGATACTGACTATTCATTTTATTTCCCAAAACCTTTGCAAATTATCGTTCTACATATCAGAAAGTGAATAAATTATTTACGTTTTATCAGGATTAAACTAGTCCGAAATAGCTGCTTAAAAATCGATAGATTAGACGTGGTTCTGTTGGTGTAGCGGTTATCACATCTGCTTAACACGCAGAAGGTCGCAGGTTCGACACCTGCACAGAACACTATTTTTCTTTTATTAATTTTTTGTCTCATATACGTTAATAAAAAAGAAATTGACAGAGAACAATTAAGAACGGTTTGGGTGTAGGCTATGGATGGGTATTGAGGAAGAGAATGTCAACACTCACATCCACTTCGTTGTCTTTGTTCAGTCGGTAGTAAGATTTTAAAATAGTTTTGAAATAAATTTAGTTTCCAATATATTATTTAACTGAAAATATGTTGATCTGTTTAACATCGACAAAACAAAATTAATACTAGTTTGATTGAAAATTGGTTGCAAATAATAATTGATTTATCTTCTAAAGTGTCAAGAGCAAAACATCGTTCGTTTGAAATTGTATCAAGTTTATGTTCGTTCAATTTATTTATTAATTACCAGACTATAAAACCGACGTCAAATTATTTTTATTTTATTTAATCAAGTCTGTGATAGGTTATGTCATATTCAATTTTGTTATTATTTTATGGTCATTATGTTATTGAAATTATATTTAACTATAACTATCGAATATTAATTATCATGTTTGACAATGCATATTAACTATTTCTAAAGATGTCATTATCATGATTAATTATAATTAAAGTTATCTCAGTCAAATATTTGATGTCTTAAAAAATGAATTTGTCATCCATTAGTTGGATAAGCATCAATTCGGCATAATGACATATTTAAATTTTAAAAATTTATTACATACCGCCTCTTACATTTCTAAAAATGAAATACTATGCCAACTAACTTACGATACAACTGAACAGTTGTTTGTTCTTTTCTCATAAATAATTTTCGTTTCAATTTCAATTTTTAAAGATTTATTCTCCATTTTTTTTTTGTCATGATCGTATTAATTTGCTGGTTTTTTTTTAAAGTGTTTAAATATGTTCTACGGTATGTAGTAAGAGAAATATGATAAAAATTAAGGAGAAAAATGAGAATCGATCTTTTCATAAAACTATTCAATTTAGATAGTTTGACTGCGGAAATATTGTTGAACTTGACGAACACTGGTAAGACCACTTTCAAGTGCACCATCTATAGAACCTCGCCACCTGTTAGATAAATCACTACTAGCAAAAAAACAATGGTAGTTCTGAAGTCTGTAGTACACGAAGATTCGATAATCCTTGACCTGGTTTATACCATGACCAAGTACTTTCTACAAATGAACCATTACGCCAATCATGTCCAAAAACGTGTTCGACTTTACAATTAGGTAAAAATTTCTGTAGTTCTCGTTCTACAGCTACAATATCTCGAATATCAAGTGCATTATCAGGACCAAAACAAACAATAACGGTACCTTCTTGATCATCCGTATATAAGCTACAGTTATTGGATTAGGATGAGATGCAAAACCACACCAATTACCTATTGAATTCTTCAGTTTAGCCCAAAATTTAGTATCACCACGACATTGTCCTTCAGCAATGGCACATAGTTTTTCGAATTCAAGTGTCGATTGAAATTCTATATTATGTAATGGATTTAATGGCACAGTTATAATAGTTGTACGAACATTGAATACTTGTTGAGATTGTGTTTGAATTCTAACTTTTTTATCCTCTGTTCTATGGACAGAAATAACAGATGTAAAGAGTAATAAATTCACATCTTGACAATCATCAAGTATGGCTTGAACTAATGCACTTTCTCCTTCACGTATTTTAGATCGACTTGTTTTATCCGATGTTCGAATTGTATCATAATCTTCAAGTGCCCAAAAACATAAATGATCAAGAAATCCACTTTTTCTCAAATCATATTGTGTATTCATTGAAAGATAAGTATCTAAAATCTGACGCATATTATCATGATAATCAAATGAACTTGATATTTGTTTCAATCGTTCTTGCATTGTCATATGATCATAAGTTTGAATAGCTTAAAAAATAGTTAGAGGTGCATGTGGTAAAGGAATGACAGTTCGTCCTAGTACTTCACCTACAATTACTAAATTTACTCATAAGTTCACATAATTTAGGATAAAGATCACTTATTGAAAAGGGTTTTAGTCTAGTACCATTACCAAGTAATACACTAATATGATCAGCTACTACTCCTTCAGATTCAATTAATGAAAAACCACAATGTGTTATCTCAGTCCATATGTGTGATTGACTCCAATGAATTCATGTACCATCAATTTCGTATTGTTGATTATCAACTTGTGCAGTAAAAAGTTCTACCATCTATACGATTTTTTGCTTCAAGAATTAATACACTTCGATCACGACGACTAAGTTCACGTGCAGAAATAAGACTTGCAAATTCGACACCAATAATTATTACATCATATTCTTTGTTATTGACTAACTTTGTATTATTATTAACAATTGTTGTTATTAATCCATTTTCAAATGTACTGTTTGCATGACAAATAAATCCATCGAGAGTTCTATTTGATGGTTTTCCAATATCAATCAGCACTATTTCAATATCAATTATAATAAACAATCTATTAAAAGTTTAGGTCACTTAACTAAAGAATACCACAAAACAAATGTACTCAAAAATGAAGAAACAAAACTTTTCTCTGTTGCTATCTCCTTTTTATAAATTGAATCATTCTTCTTTTCAACATATAACATCTATTGTTTCTTTTTTTCATACTCTTATCTTCAAAATAGATGATGAGTTGCACGCAAATCAAAAAAAAAGCGATCTTTCACTACAAGACATGGTTAAGAAAAGTAACAAATGCTACACGCCGACGGAAAAAAACATCTGAATATTGAATGATTGAATAAACTTTTATTTAAAAACCAATTGAATTCATTCGTCATTTTATTTTTCAATATATACATCTGCTTTTATAATATACACAAAGTTTTATTTTTATTTTTGTATTTAACCTCCCATAGAATAGTATAGTCCACTGAACTTCGAACCTATTCTTCTAGTGAAAAGTTTGGAAGTAGACTGTTATTACGATGAACTGTTTTTATATTCAAGCTATGATTTGATTTCTTTACAAGCACCGAAGTACGCATGACTCAATAAATTGGAATTCTCAAACTCTTTAACAACTTTTCGATAGTTACACCTTTATCTGTTATCAGTACTTAGCGAATCTCAATATTGATACTTTGGTTAGAAAAATTATGGAGCTTTCGAGAAGTTGAGAAAAAACTGCTATACGGCTTTGCCAGAGGGCGTCATGTTAAAAGCTTATGTACAATTCAGAAACTTCAGAAGTATAAAGTAAACCTTTTCACTGTCAAATAAGACACCTTATCATTTTTATGGACCAGCCAGTTCAGATCTTATAAGTATTTCAATAATAAAGAGCGCACTTATCTCATACTATTACTTTTATTTTGAGTTCGATAAACTATCGTATAATTTCCACTGACTATCATTCAACTGTGTGGACTGTTTCATTTTTTTAGTTTAAAGATTTGTCCATACTTTTGCCATCTTAATAAAAATTTACATTGCTTCATTGCTAGACTGTGTGTAATCCGATAAAAGAATGATATAAAAGTATGAAGAAACTCATTTGTTCATCAGTAGAAAACATGAAGAAAAAAACGAAATTAGATACACAAAAGGAGTCATAACTAACTGGCAAAAAGCAATCAATTAATCCATTCGATGGTTTACATTGCTATGTTGCACTCGTTCGAATAGAGTGAGCTTCTATTCTATGGAAGATTTTACATTTAATCGTTCGATAATGTTAGTATATAAGTACAAACAAAGTTACTTATTACTTTCAATGAATTGCTTTGCCTTGTTAATACAAATATGCAAATCAATAATAATATCGGCATTCATTTGTGATGTACCTTGTTCTAACAATTCTATTGCTTTCTCATAGTTTTCTAAGGCATGAATATAGTCCTTTTGATGTAAATAATTATCACCGATAGCTTTATAAATAGGTACAAGATCTGGATGATTAGATTGTAGATAAGTCAAACTCGTTTCAAGTGCTAGTTGATAATGATCTAAAGCATTAACATATTGATTATTATATGTATAAATAGCAGCTAGACCACTATGTACACGTACAAGACGTCTAGGTTGACTACGAACAGAAGGATCATGTAATAATTCGAGAAGAAATTGTTCAGCACGTTTATATTCTCCCATTTCCATTAATAATTTACCCAAACAATAACCAGGATTTAAATGTATATCATCATTTCGTGTAGGTGCAACGATACGAAGTAATTGTTGATCATTAACATCGATTAATTTTAATTTAACAAACCATATTATTATTGTACCATTCATAGTTTGTTCAATAGATTCAATACAAAAAACGGTACTCATATAAAAACAAATCTCATTTCTGTTCATATCTGCATCTTTGAGTAAAGCAAATGGACTTTTTTCATTAAATTTTGTTTGATCAATATTTATTTCGAAAATAATACCTGTCATATTAGGATGCATTGTAAGTCGACGATCAACAAAATCAATAGCATCTTTTTTGTCAATAGTAGCGATAAGAAAATTTGTAAATGCAAGAAAACCACCACAATTATTCTTTACTGTCGTATCAAATTCAATAGATGACATTGTTTTACCACGATATACAATAGAAATTGTTTTCATTAATAATGAATTCTCTTCGTATAAATGATTCAATTGTATATTTATTTGTTTAATAAAAAAACCAAGTTTATAAATAATATCAATTTCATGTGTACGTTGTACACGATCAAGTATTTTTGAAATAAAACATTGATTTGTTAACCACCAAAGAGCTTTATTTGGACGATAATTTTTTGCAAATTCATCAATTATATGTAATTGTTCATTATTATTCATATAATATAAACGACAAAAATCAATGAAAACATCTTTTGAACAACTTTCAAATTTAAGACGAGCAATAATTTCTTTTAACATTTGTGTAAAAAGAAATGATGCTTGTTGTTTTGTTAATTTTGATGAAAATGAAATTTCTTCTGATGGTATGAATACAGTCGTAATAAGTATCAAATCCATTTCACATAGTTTCATATCTTCTTGAAGTTGTTTATAAAGATTATCAATATTGTGAATAATATCATATTTTAAAATTTGATATTTTTCATCATTTTGTTTATGAGAAGAATCAAATATATATAATTTTTCAAGTTGTGTTAAATGATGAAAACGTTCAAATGTTCGATGTATTCCAGATATAATAAGAAATACTTTTTCATCTTGAATATTATCAATAAAAGTAATACATGCATCAATATTATTAAATGTTTTTAATCCATAAATAAGTGTTCGTAATTGTTTTATTTCATTTTCAAATTTATTTGATGTTTCATCATAAAGCCAAATAATAAGATAATTTTCTAGAAACCGTATTGATTGTGGAATAGTCTTTGTTATTGATAATGATTCTTCATTATGTAATGAAAAATGTTTAGATATAATGTCAGATGTAAAATTTTTTGACGATGAACAACCCATTGTAAATCTGCGTGCTTTGTAAATAAAAAATTTTTTTTTTTCTTCTCTAAAAAAATACAGAAAAATACTATCTGTCATATTCTCTGTTCGCACTCAATTTCTAGTCATCTTTATTTTCTGTTTAAAAGAATAATAAAATAGAAATAGCAATATCTGGTTAAAAAAAAAAGCTGTTAGCAAAATCTCTGTGGGATAAAAATGTAAAACATGATGTAGCTGCTAATTTTGTAAAAGAGAGCGTTAATAAATATATATAGTCTTCGCTTTATGAAATCCTATCTACTGTTAATACATGTCAATAATGAAAGATATTAATTGCATTATATTGCTGTGAATGTGAACAAAATAATAACTATTATGCTAATCTACCAGTGAAATTTGCTCTTGTGATTATGTCTGTGCGAGGGAATGAGAGAGGACTCCGAATTCTTACATCTATACTTCGATATTCCTTTTAAATTGCGCTTGTGATGTAATACAATTTGTTTTTTAATATATTTCTTAAAATATTGAATTCTTAAACTACTAGATCGTTTTATCTAATAAAAGAAAATGAAAAATATTTATAGAATTCTACACTATCTCATGAAAAAAAAACTTTATAAAAAAAGAATTGTTGAAAATGCGTGTCTGTTTGAAAAGTGCCCTGCAGACGCTTTTAACGTTCTATTGAAATGCATTCTTTCAATTATAGATAAGATAATGTTACAATAAAAATAGTTTTTCAATTGTTGTAGTGTTATTCATATAATTAGTTTTATATCTTGCGGGTGTTGTTAAATGATAAATCTCATCATTTGTTTTCTTTGACATCAAAGCAAACAAGAAATTCTCTAGTTTCTTTTTTAACTATTAAATCAGATATGAAGTAAAAATGAACTCTCACAAACAATACTATTTATATCTTGCATAAAATTTAATTCTGTATATCCCTCTGAAAAAATTGTTAGACTAAATTGCTATAAAATAATATTCTTACACAAAAGTGATTATCTACACAGATAATACGCATTCTCATTATCAGATTCTCCGAACATGTATATGTTATTTCTTTTTCAAATTAATTTTCATATAGGAATAAACTATAACAAAAGTGACTATACATTAACAATATTCGAAATATTTGTTAACAAATAATTGAAAGTCAAAACTGATAATAATAAAGAATTATAGAGGATTTCACATTCTATCAGAATATATACTTACTATTGTAATAGTTTGTTCCTATATTAAAAAGAAAAAAAAGTTGAAAAAGAATGAAGAGATACATTTCCAGAGAACCTGACGATGAGAATGCCTTCATGGTGCTTCAATTTCTATTTTAGCGAATAACTACAATTCAAAACATAGATATGTAAGATTATAAACAATTCCATATGCTATCAGAATATATAATTACTTTTTCTAAGAATATTAATTTACAGAAATGATCTTGTTTAGTCTAACAATGTTGCTTTTATAAGGATATGAAATATGATAATGAAACAAACTATATTACTTTACTGTTTAAATCTAATAGATATATTTCGTCATCATCAGAAAACATATAGTCAAAGAAATCTGTATCAGACTTTCTATTTACCAGAAGTATTGTTCGAAGTTGAAGAATTCGAAGAAATAATACGAACGTTATCTGTATATTAGCTTCTTTACATAAAAAAATAACAACTTGCTAATACACTCATATATCAAAATCAAAATTTTCGTGTATATTTTAAAGTTGATCTTTATATGAAAATCTATCAAACGAGCAGAACTCATAGAATTACTAAATGTCAATTGACTTAGCAATGATCTATTTCTTTTCTAATCAAAGCACATGCACACAACTTTGAACATGTCCTATTGAAGTTTTCCAAATCATCGATGCGAAAATTTTATAAAAACATCTTAAAATAAATCTGTTTTCTTTCTCAATGCTTTAACATGTTCATTGAGATTTGACATAAAATGCTCATATAAGCTCATGGTAAGCTACACATTATAATAAAAGAAAACATAAAAAAACCTATCGAACATTCTTTTTTGTTGTAAATAATAATTCTATAGAATTAGAATAAATCTGATAACAAGCATACATACAGAAATAACGAAAGAACCTATTCTAGCATAATATTTCTTGAAATATTATAGAAGCAAAAGAAAACAGAGCTACTCATTTATACAACATGTAGCACATAATTATTTTCGTAATTAAATTTATTCATGCATGTAATATATTAAAGTTCCTAACAATCAATGTCATATCTTCGTGTCTAACCTATAAAAGAATTGTTTATTTTATAGTACACAAGGAGGCAATTTGTGAACATCTGTTCAAGTTTGGGAAATTTGTAAAAGCTATCATAAGTTTTCCTGTTTGATTATACTCTGCTATCGATGTATGTATTAGAGAAACATAAAATGTCTATCATAATAGCTATACTAGAAAACAGAGAATGTATTAATTGCATTTCCCACACATGTTTATTTGCCATTATCTTTAACCTATATCGAGTCTCAACTTTTTCGAGCTATGTAGCTAAACATCAATAATCATCTTACACACATTCAGCGACAGGAGTATTTATAATACAATTCAATAGAGGCAAATAAATTCAAGACAAGAATAAAATGATAAAGTCTAATAATTAAAGAATTCTATGTAAATTGTAATATAGAAAATTCTAAGAAAAAAAAAATCGAAAGAAAACATGTTTTAATTAACATCTTAATACTCATTAGCAAAAAAAAATCACTGTACAACTCCAAATATTTGGTAAATCAACTCGATTATTTTCGATTCTAAAGAATTAAAAACAAAAAAAAACTAGGAAAAATATTTATATTAGAATAAGCATCAGAGAAAAAAAAAGTTAGTCTCTTAAAGATGCTCATAGGTAGATTGAAAAAACAACAACATGTACACATCAAAATGAGACGCCCTTTTGTTCTACTAACTTCTTCAAAGTGTTTTTTTGTGTGCGAGATATATGTTATAGTTGAATGCGGCATTCGAAATGACTTCTATAAAAAGAATTTAATTAGATTCCTTTGAAATCTTTTTTCTTATCTGTTCATGTGACAACAAAAAAACGCTATTATTCATCTCTTAGTCTCTGTTCAAGAAAAATTTTCTTAATTATTTGACGTTAATGTCTTTTGTTGTCTTACACGCACGTGATGATCTGAGATTTCATGTCTAGACTACATAAAGTTTTCACATGTTCATGAAAGAATTATCAGTATCTTGAATTTTATTTGAAATTAAATCAATTGTTTGAGAAAGAATAATTATTTTAAATTTTAACTGAGAAAAAAGAAAGATATGTGCAAACTTTTTTCAATGTACAGACTAGAAAAAAAAAACAAGACGTCGACATCTCGTATCGTTCGAAAAAGCTCATAACTCAAAATATACATTGGAAAAAATGTTAGCAGATCTAACTATTTTTGGCAACCATATTTACCCATTTGACAGTTAAAAATGGGATGGATGTGACACTCCTGAATACCATAATGAATACAAATGAATACAAAAAAATGAATGAAAAATTAGTCTGTCACTACTGATTGTCTCGAGTAATAGGACATCAGTGAAGTTGATGATGTTCTTCTGAATATGAAAGCATTAATCAAATACACAGTTAAAAATAAAGAAAAAAAAATTTTTTTCATAAGAAAATAAAATTAGATAATAAGAAAAAATATAACAAATGACAAAAAAATTTCAAAATATAATAATCATAAATAAATTTCTATGAAATGTTCGTCAATAAGCACAGACCAACTTGACATTGTAGTATATACCATGAGAAAGTAATTTATAATTTTAACGGGTTAAATAAAAGCTATTTCTTTGATGTGTTTCTTTATTTAGTGTAATAAAATAGTTTTATATATATTAATTAGAAAAAATTTTATAAGTCGTTATTTCAAATAAAAATGAATTATTTTCTCCAATTTTTCTAAACACTTAAAGTTTACAATTTCAATGTATTAAATCGTATCTATAATAATTAAAGTAAAAAATTCTCTCGACTTGTGATAATGAATTTAGAAAGAGATAGAAATAAAGGATGTGCATTGCACAAAAAATCATTGCTCAGTAGTATTATACGAATTAAAAATATATCAAAATTCGACTATTGTTTAGATACCGAAAGGTAATGAATTCTGAAGAGTAAAGAATTAGAGTTTCTTATACATCATTCATTGTTGTTCTCTCGAAATTAATTTAGCTATTGTAGGAAATTTTACGGAGCACCTTTTAAAAAAATTCAAGTCTTTAGAATTTATTTTTGTTAAGATATTTGCAAAATATTCGATATTGCAATCATTCAATAGTACTGTTACACAAGATCAGTGGCTCTACTGTTTCTATATTGACATATATATTGAAATTGAAACCATTCATACAGTTAATGTTATGCATCTTTAGATAGAGTATTAGAGAGAGAGAGAGACTTCGTTGAACAACTACAATAAATAACTTGTGTACTTCATTCTTAAATAATGCAGAGTGACATCAACATAGCATCACTCATTTGAGACAAATAAAAATGGAAATGAGACAATCATGCATTAGTATAATTGACTTTTTCCTGTATAAAGTCTCAATCATTTTTTTATCGTCTATCAAATGACTTCATTCTATTTATTGTTCTTTAGCATGTGACTAAACTTCATAATAATAATACATTGACATGATAACATATAACAAAAATGTAAAATGTCATACTATTTTAAGAATTTTTTTTCTCATTATTATTATTGTAATGTGTATTTTTAATATATTTCTTGATATTCGCTGGTAACTAATCAGAACAGAAAAGATTTTTGAAGTGTACAACTTTGCAAGATAATCCTACTGAGTATATACTCTAGGCTGTCATTTAACTTTATTTTATCAAAAGAGTCTTCGTACGTTAAACTAATCTATTTTGATAGTATCTTATAATGGAATTTGATATGGATGATATTTTTGTTTGTTTTTTTTCACAGTAACTTCATCAAGTGCT